AGTGGCCACTGCACTCCAGTCTGGGCGATGGAGTGAGACTCCAACTAAAAAAAAAAAAAGAAAAGAAATATATACTTATCAAGGAATATATTTCCTGAGGAGCCCATGACAATCATACTTTTCTTATTCTTTGTTAACTGGTGGTAAACCTAATGAAGGCAGATTCTTTTCTCAGTATGTAGTGTTAAATTTCTATTCCTTTCTTTGAAACTAATTACAGAATGGGATAAGTGTGAATTTCAAAGAGGGTTTCTGCGAGATACTTTAATGTGGTATTTTTTTTTTAAAGATCAGTTTGAGTGGCCTTCGATAACTTTTGGTTCATTAAAAAAAGCTAGCTGGGCTTGGTGGCTCAGCCTGTAATCCCACGCCTTTGGGAGGCTGAGGTGAGTGGATTGCCTGAGCCCGCGGGTTCAAGATCCGCCAGGGCAGGCGAGACCTCATCTCTACAATAAAATTAAAAAATTAGCCGGGCATGGTAGCGCGCGCCTGTAATTCCGGCTACTTTGGAAGGCTGAGGCAGAAGGATCGCCGGAGCCCAGCAGGTCGAGGCTGTAGTGGCCGGGAGCGGCCACTGCACTCCAGTCTGGGTGACTGGGTGAGACTCCAACTCAAAAAAAAAAAAAAAAAAAAGCTGAAGTAAAATGATCAGCTGGAGGTCTCTTCAATGTTTGAAGGACTGTTTCTTCAATGTTTGAAGGAGTTGCCTCAGTAGAGAGATTTGAGTATAGGTGAGAATGAAGGAGGAAATGTTTGGGAGTAATGGAATTTCATACTTGTAAAGAGCCTAACCACACCTTCCTTGACATCATCTCCCTGGCATGTGTTATTATAATTTAACTCCTCATAGCATCAACAACCATTTCCTTTGGAAAAAAGAAAAGGGACTACATTTAACTTGGGATAATTTGCCTTTCTCAATATATTTTGCATAAATTTCTATTTCTTCTTGATGTTAATATATTGAAGACCAGTGAGGAATGGGAGGTAATGATGAAAGTAGGACTGACAGGTAGGTGCTGCTAAATTCTCACTCTTTGAGAAGCTTGAGTTACCTGAGATTGTCAAAAGTATTTCCTCAGGAGAGAGAAGAAAGTGGTAAACAATAATGTAATCATTTATACCTTTAACAGGGAAGGATAATTTTCTTTTTTTGGAGTTGGAGTTTCACTCTATCGCCCAGGCTGGAGTGCAGTGGCACACTCGCAGCCACCGCAGTCTAGACATGCTGGGCTCAGGCGATCCTTCTGCTTCAGCCTTCCAAGTAGCTGGAACTACAGGCGCATGCCATCACTCCTGGCTAATTTTTTTATTTATTGTAGAGATGAGGTCTCACCAAGTTGCCCAGGCTGGTCTCCAACCCATGGGTTCAGGCAGTCCTCTTACCTTGGCCTCCCAAAGTGCTGAGATTATAGGCGTGAGCCACCACGCCCAGCCAAGGGAAGGATAATTTTCTGTGTGTATTTACTACTTTCCCTTCTAGTTTCCATCAAATCAAATTTATTTCATTTTTATTTTTATTTATTTATTTATTTATTTATTTATTTTGAGTTGGAGTCTCACTCTGTCACCCAGGCTAGAGTGCAGTGGCAAGCTCATGGCCACCACAGCCTCTATCTGCTGGGTTTAGACGATCCTTCTGCCTCAGCCTTCCAAGTAGCTGGAACTACAATTGCTTACCTCCACACCTGGCTAATTTTTTATTTATTGTACAGACGAGGTCTTGCCAAGTTGTCCTGTCTAGTCTCGAATCCCTGGGCTCAGGCAGTCCTCTTGCCTTAGCCTCCCAAAATGCTGGGATTACAGGCATGAGCCACCTTACCCAGTCTATTTTTTTTTTTTAAAGTCAGTGTCTCACTCTGTCACCCAGGCTGGAGTACAATGGGACAATCATGGCTCATCACAGTCTCAACCTCCTGGACTCAAGTGATCCTCCTGTCTCAGCCTCCCGAGTAGCTGGGGCTGTAGGGGCCTGCCACCACACCTGGCTAATTTATTTGAATTTTTTGTAGAGATGAAGTCTTGCTATGTTGCCTAGGCTAATCTCGAACTACTGGGCTCAAGCAATCTTTCTGTTTCAGCCTCTCAAAGTGCTGGAATTATAGGTGTGATCCTTATACCCAGCCCACTAAATCAAATTTAATAGAACTGAGAATTAAAGAATCATTAGGTCTAACATCTTTTGATTTGGGCAGCTGTTAGTTCTGTTATCAGTAATAAGTTAACTCAGATGGTTAAAGTTTAGTGGTAATGTCTTCCATTGATCACTCCTTCCCATTTTTAGCACTACTACTCTTATTCACGGCCTCATTACTATCTTTTCTACTCTAATAAACAGC